GACAACTAAAGGGACAACCGCGGAACAACCCCGGCCCCAGCCCCGTCGACCAAACGGGGAAGCAACAGCTGCTCCGACTCTGCCAGTGGCCGCGGCGGCATCACTCCTCTCCCCCGCGCACGCAGCTTCGCCGCGCCCGCGCGCGCGCGCACGGCGCGAGCACGACACCGAGCTCGATCTCCTGGTGGGGGGTCTCCGTTTGACTTCGATCTCACCCCTTGTTTATATTGTCTACAATCTGGGACCTGGGGAGACCCCCCCCCTGAACGGAACCCCTCCGGATCCTTGACCCCAGGGGCACCCGGGACGCCCGTGCAGACGGTCCCAGGCGCTTTCCAGGGCTTCTGAAGCCTCTGCTGGGCCTAAGCAACGGGCCCACATCGGTCCAGAGGGCGGACCAGAAGGCCCGCGAGCGCCCATAGAGGCCCCAGACACTCACCAAACGTCCCAAGACGACCGAAATAAGACCCCCAAGAGACATTCGAAACATAAAAAACATTGACTTCCGATGGTTTTTGTATGATGTTGGGAATGCTCAGTTCTTCGGTTCTGGGTGTCCGAGACCGCCCAGGAGGCCAGAGAATCGCCCCAAATTTACCCAAGAGGGCTTCCAGGCAGTCCAAGAGGAGCCCTAAGACGGCCCAACAGGGCCTCAAGATGACCCGAAGAGAGCCCCATGACGGCCCAAGATGGCCCCCAAACACTTCCCGAATCATTATAAAGCGTGACCTGGTCGTCCAGGGAGACCGCGGTTGGAAGCAGGGTGGTTCTGAAAAGCCTCCAGATGCCCCCAGAAGGGACCCAGGAGGCTTCCAGAATGGCACCCAGAAGGGACCCATAATGGCCCCAACAAGTCCTTGAGGCTTCCAGGAGGCTCTCCTAGGATGAACCTCCGCAACAAGAGCTGAGGATGGGGAAGAATTCGCAGGATAGGGCGAGAATAGTAAGGAAGAGGAAACATGAGGTTCCCATAACACATAATTTGATTTCACCGACGATGCCAGAACAGGCAACAATCAGTTATTTCCAAATGCTCCGTTTTACCTTCTTGCCCTCCTTTCTGCATGCCAAACCTCAAGGACCAAAGTGCATGGCGCGAAGCGCCAATGCAGTCTTGTACACACATATATATATATATATGTTTAGACAGCTAGACATATATACATGTATGCACACGCATGTATGCATACGTCAACAATGGAGAAGGACAGAGGGAAAGAGAGAGAGAGAGAGAGAGTGAGAGAGAGAGAGTGAGAGAGAGAGAGAGAGAGAGAGAGAAAAGGAGAGAAAGAGAGAGAGAGAGAGAGAGAGAGAGAGCGAACGACGGATAATTACCCTGGCGACGTACCCAACCCCTGCGCAATGCAGGACATGAGTAGTTTGGGTGACGTTATACGGAGGTGATGACGTGACATGGGCACATCTACTTCTGCGAGTGGCATTCGTGAAGCTCGCAGCCCCCCAGTGATTGCGAGGTCCCGCTCTGATCTGCGTGGTGCCTCACTCCGCTGGACCCGCCACCAGCCTACGAACGTAGCGACGGTTTCGCAGATCGCACCCCCCCAAGGACGGCGAGTTCCCGCTCAGATCTGCGCGGTGCCTCATTTCGCTGGACCCGCCAGCAGCCCTTAAAAGTGGCGACGGTTTCGCAGACCGCAGCTCCCAGGGACGGCGAGGTCTCGCTCAGATCTGCGCGGTGCCTCACTCCGCTGGACCCACCAGCAGCCCTCAAAAGTGGCGACAATTTTGCAAATCACAGCCCCCCAGGGATGACGAGGTCTAATTTGGACCCGCGGCGACTACCCACTACATATAGCTGGCCCCCCAAGCAGCCCTCGACAGTTGCGACACTTTTGCAAATCGCAGCCCCCCAGGGATGACGAGGTCTAATTTGGACCTGCGGCGACTACCCACTATAGCTGGCCCCCCAAGCATCCCTCGAGAGTGGCGACAGTTTCGCACATCGCAGCCCTTCAGGGATGGCGAGGTCTACTTTGGATCTGCGGCGGCTACCCACTATGCTGGCTTCCCAAGGAGTCCTCGAAAGTGGCGACAGTTTCGCGGATCGCAGCCCCCCAGAGATTGCGAGGTCTAATCTGCGCCTGCGGCGGCTACTCACTATGCTGGTCCCCCCAGCAGCATTCGAAAGTGGCGACAGTTTCGCAAATCGCAGCCCCCCCCCCAGGGATGGCGAGGTTTAATTTGAGTCTGCGGCGGCTACCACCCACTATGCTGCCCCCCCGGCAACCCTCGAAAGTGGCGGCAATTTTGCTAATCGCAGCCCCCCAGGGATGGCGAGGTCTAATTGGGGTCCGCGGCGGGTACTCCCTATGCTGTCCCCCCCAGCAGCCCTCGACAGCGGCGGCAGTTTCGCAATTCGCAGCGCCTCAGGGATGGCGAGGTCTAATTTGGGTCCGCGGCAGGTGCCCACTATGTTCCCCCAGCAGCCATCGAAAGTGGCGACAGTTTCGCAAATCGCAGCCCGCGATGTCTAATTTGGGTCCGCGGCGGGTGTCCACTATGCTGTCCCCCCAGCAGCCCTCGAAAGTTGCGACAGTTTCGCAAAGCGCAACCACCCAAGGATGGCGAGGTCTAATTTGGGTCCGCGGCGGGTACCCACTATGCCGTCCCCCCAGCAGCCCTCGAAAGTGGCGACAGTTTCGCAAATCGCAGCCCCCCCCAGGGATGGCGAGGTCTAATTTGGGTCCGCGGCGGGTGCCCACTATGCTCACGATGCTGTCTCCCCCAGCAGCCCTCGAAAGTGGCGGCAGATCGCAGCCCCCCAGGGTCGGCGAGGTCGAAGACAGGCACCGCAGGCAACATGCACACACACAAGCGGTAATTACGCACAAGGCAAGAGGAGACAAGAAGGAGGGGGGGCGAAAAGCAGGACGCGGGAGGCGGGAGGAGGAGGAGGAGGAGACGCGACCGCAATGTTCCATTCAAAACGAATACGCAACCAGGGAGGGTTGGGAAAAAAGAGAGACACAGATAGAGAGAGAGAGAGAGGGAGAGAGAGTGAGAGAGAGGGAGGACGCAGAGGCCACAATTGAAGTCACCATGCGTCGATGCGCACTGAAGCACGCTGCTCCATGCGGATCCCGCGCGGAATGCCAGAGCAGACGCAACATCTCGACACTGGTCGCGCCGCGACATCGACGGGAAATGGTACAGAGCGCGGCGTGCAAGGCACGCCCACGGTGCGCGGGCAGCCCAACCTACTCTGGTGTTGGTCTGTGCGTAGCCTGCTTCCCTGGACGGTCTTTCAAAACCCAGGGTTACTTTGGGTCCCGCTGTGGCGGCAAATGGCGATCGCGCTCTCGTCGTCGTCGTCGTCGTCGTCGTGGCCGTGGCCGTGGCCGTGGCCGTGGCCGTGGCCGTGGTCGTCGTGGTCGTGGTCGTGGTCGTGGTCGTGGTCGTGGTCGTGGTCGTCGTCGTCCCCCTTCCTTCTTCAATTCCTGCTCCTTTCTCCTGCTTTCACCTTAGCGCCAGCTCAGGTCCGGCTCCTCGCCGTGCGAGCCCGCGCCATGGTGCCCCCCGGGCGCCCGCACGCTCTCTTTCCCCTTCCGCTCCTCCGTCCTTCAGCTCCACCGACACGCAACACGCCACACGTAGCGCGTTGTCACGGAACTCAGCACGCAGACAGAAGCGTAAGTTTGGCGCGATACGTTCGCCAAAACGTGGACCAACACGTGCCGACCCAATACGCAGCGTGTTGACACGGACGTTCTGTGCACGGTGCGTCCACGCGCGGCCAGGGCAGCTAAGTTCCGCCCTCGTCCCCTCGGCCTCCCCTTGACAGCGCCTCTCTGGCGCGAGGCCCGGCCCTGGCGCACAGCTGCCTAGAGGCGCACGCAGGCAGCGCGTGCGCAAGCCCTTGCAGTGGAACGGCTTCTTCATGAGCTTGCTTTGTGGATGCCATGCCAGCGGACACTGACACAAACCCTATCACTGAACGACTATGGTGTTTTAAAGGTTCTTATGCATACACGCGTTCGACACATGTTTTAAACATGCTTTAACACTTTGAAAGCATCTTTGAACACGTTGTAAGCATGTGTTTTAAAGGCTTGTATGCATAAACGCGTTCGACGCATGTTTTCAACATGCTTTTACACTTGAAAACAAAAAAAGCATCTTTGAACATGCTGTAAGCATGTGGAGATTCTTTGGCAACCTGCCTCCTCTCCATGGATCGTCTTTGAACATGTTGTAAGCGTGTGGGGACTACTTGGCAACGTGCCTCCTCTCCATGGATCGTCTTCCACACAGCTTGCTGCCCTGCAGGCTCTCCGTGGCTGCCGTCCGACCCGGCCGGGGGAGGCCCTGCGCTCGGCCCTGCGGGCGCCCTCTGCTGTTCCGCAGGCTGCTCTTATGTCGGGCGTGTCCCCCTACAGGGGGATTTTCGACGAAAAATAAAGAATACCCCAAACATACTCCAAAAAGGTCAAAAAATACTCAAAAAATAGTCCCTGGACTATTTGTGGACTATTTTTTTTTGTTGGGTTGTATTTTTCGTCGAAAATCCCCCTGTAGGGGGACAGGCCCGACATAAGGCTGCTCTGGAGCTGCGGCATGCGCCCGCTGCTCCTTCACTCGCTGCCCCACCAGTGCCTCAGCGCCCTCCCGGGGTCGCGCGTGGGCAGGGCGCCCCCCCCTACCCCCCGGGTGCCCTAATCAGGCTCCGGGCCGCGCCCGCCCCGAGCGTGAAGAAAGTTCAGAGGCCGCCAGAAGCACGCAAAATCCTGGGGGAACCTCGCCTCCTCCTCCTCCTCCTCCTCCTCCTCCTCCTCCTCCTCCTCCTCCTCCTCCTCCTCCTCCTCCTCCTCCTCCTCCCCCTCGTCCACGAGCTGGCCGCTGCCCCAGGGTGCCATGAACAAGCGCAGGGCCGTGGTCGTCGTGAACATCTGAAGAACAACATTCCAAAACCACCGAGGACTTTCGAAAGCCTCGGCGATATTCCCCTCGTCATCACCGCCGCACGCGCAGGCCAGTGGCGCCCGCGAGTTGAAGCCCTCCAGCACGGCCCAATCGCTGGCCGTCAGGAAGCGGTTGCTGCGCTTGCCGGATGCCTTCAAAGGGGGCTGGTGCAAAAGCGCCGGATCCTGGGGATTTTAAACATCATCATCCTGTTCCTGTTCTTCTCCTTCACCGCGTCTAATCCTACGCCCAATGGGTTCTGGAAGCACTGGACCAGAAAAACTTGGCATTTGGTGGGGGCGGATCGTTTACTTCAGCCGGCCTTGGCTGGGCTTCCCCTCGCTTCCGCCAACGGGGCCACCGTCGCTTTCCTTCCGCCGCTTTCCGCCGGCCTTCCGCCGAGGAAAACATGCCAACTCCTCTGATCCTCGAAAGCGAGGCCCCTTCGGGAGAGCGGCATATGGGGACAATCAATGCTTTCGGCAAACACGCCGATTTCTTTTGACATGTCGGGCTGACGTTTCGTCCCTGGTGGGGCTGTGTTTGTCACGGAGGAAACACCCACATAAACAACAATTACACGTGAGTCTCGCAGATGTGCCAGATATTTTAGATGCCGCGGCCGCCAACACGTGTCGCCGATAGTCTCCTATAGTGGGCGATGGATTTGCGTGTGCATCCCAAACGCCCCAACCAGCCAGGTATACCATCAACTCTCACCCAGCGGCAGCACGACTGTGGAAAGAGAGAGAGAGAGACACACACATATACATACATACATACATACATACATACATACATACATACATACATACATACATACATACATACATACATACATACATACATACATACATACATACATACATACATACATACATACATACATACATACATACATTGTTTGTATATGTGTATGCATGTATGTATATGTATGCATGTATGTATGTATGTGTATGTGTATGTATGTATATGTGTGTATGTATGTGTATATATATTGCGTATGTATATATGTCGGATTGTTGTATATATATGCACGTATGTATGTAGGTGTGTATGTTTGTATGTATGTATGTATGCATGCATGCACGCATTTATGTATGTGTGTCTGTATATGTATATGTATTTGTATGTGTATATGTATATGTATAAGTATGTGTATGTGTATGTGTATGTGTACGTGTATGTGTATGTGTATGTGTATGTGTATCGGTATGTGTATAGGTATAGGTATAGGTATATGTATATGTATGTATGTCTGTATGTGTGTATGTGTGCATGTATATATATATATATAAATATATATCGATTCCTATATTTTTTATTGGGCCAGGGACGCCGGACAAAGCGCCCCCCCTAACGAATTTGGCCCTCCCTGGGCCTCCGGGCAACCCTCAAGACGACCCGGGGGAATCTCACAAGAGCCCGAAGACGGCCCCAAACGGGTTCCAAGCGTTCCAGCGCGCTCCCGAAACGACCGCAGAGAGCCCCAATACGGTCCACGACGACCCCCAAGAAGCCGTCATCCCCCCAAAGATCGCTCCAAAACGTCCCAGGAGGCCTCCGAGACCACTCCCAAGAAGGCCCCGAGAGGCAAAAATCATTGATTTCCTTTATGTTTGGTGAACTTTTGGGTTATCCTCTTTTCGGCTTCCGGACGCTCCAAGACGGCGGTCTTCTGGGCGTCCGAAGCCGCCTGGGGGTTCCAAAATCGCCCCGCAACCATCCGAAAGGGTTTCCAAGCAGTCCAAGAGAGCCCCAAAACGGCATAACAAGGGTCCAAAATGGCCCTAAGAGAACGCCATGGCGGCCCAAGATGGCCCCAAGACACCCTCCGAAGCATTCCAAATCGTGACCCGGTCGTTCAGGGATACCGCGGTTGGAGGCAGGGTTGCCCGAGGAAGCCCCCAGAGGCCCCCAGAACACGCCCAGGAGGCCTCCAGAAGGCTTTGAGAAAAAAAACAAGGAGAAGGAGAGGGAGAAGGCAAGAGAGAAGGAGAGAGAGAGAGAGAGAGAGAAACAAAAAGGAGAGGAGATCTCGCAACAGTTCGGGCGGGGCGTCCGCCCGGGCGCGCGGGGCACTGCCGCCCGCTGCGCCCACCTCTCTGGGCGGGGTGGTTGGGGGGGGGGGGGCTCGTGAATGCATATGGGGGTAGCGTTAGGTCGTGCATGTCCTCCTGGAGGCGGACCCTCGACGAAAAATCAAGCACACACCACGCCAAAACGTGTGGAGTGTTCCTCCTGGATGGGGGCACGCCCGACTGAAGGGTAGCGTTCGCCTCACCCCTGGCGCGCGGTCGTGAGGACCCCGCTGGGGAAAAGCCCGCGGACTGTGGCGATCAGGGCGTGGCGCGCGCCCCGCGCTGCACGCCCGAAGCTGCTTCTGCTCCTCGTCCTTCTCCTCCTCCTCCTCCTCCTCCTCCTCCTCGTCCTCGTCCTCGTCGTCCTCTTCCTCCTCCTCCTCCTCCTCCTCCTCCTCCTCGCTCCTCCTCCTCCTCGCTCCTCCTCCGCCTCCTCCTCCTCCTCCTCCTCCTCCTCCTCCTCCTCCTCCTCCTCCTCCTCCTCCTCCTCCTCCTCCCCTCCTCCTCTCCTCCTCCTCCTCGTCCTCCTCCTCCTCCTCCTCCTCCTCCTCTCCTCCTCCTCCTCCTCCTCCTCCTCCTCCTCCTCCTCCTCCTCCTCCTCCTCCTCCTCCTCCTCCTCTCTCCTCCTCCTCCTCCTCCTCCTCCTCCTCCTCCTCCTCCGGCTTGTAGCAGGCTCTGGCACGTGCGCGCCTCGGAGCCCCGAGGAGCAGAGGGCGCCGCCTTGCAGGGCTTCCCCCCTCGGCGGCCCGGTGCACCTGCTGCGGCACAAGCTGCCAGGCGCTCGCGCAGCACGCGCGGGAGCGCGGTGCGACAACAGCTGCCAGCGGCCCCGCCAGACGGGGGGTGTGCCAAGGGCCTCTCCGCGCGCACCTCCGGGCGGCAGGACCCGAGCGCGCCACCCACCACCGGCCGTGCGAGCAGGGCCGCCGCAGGGCTCCGCCCGGCCCCACGTCCGCGGCACCAGGAGGCGCCGCCAGCGAGGGGGCTGGGCAAGTCCCCTTCCTCACACCCTCCCTGTCCCGTTCTCCGTTTTCCCTTGGCGCAGTCCTCGGCAGCCTGAGCCGAGGGATGGCCGATGACGGCTCGGACGAGGACCGCCGGCTCTCGGCAGCCTGAGCCGAGGGACGGCCGATGACGGGTCGGGCGAGGAGGGAGCCAATTGGGAGGTCTGGGAGACACTGGCAGCAGGAACAAGGGAGGTGGGCGCAGCTTTGGACTGGTGGCCATGGTCAGTTCTCGTGGCAATGGGCGGCGGACCGTCGGCAGGGCTGTGCTGCTCTGGCACACGGAGGCAGGCTGCACTGACGGCCCGGTGGCCTCTCCGCTCGGCGGGTGGTGGGCTCCGGCATGGAAGGCAGCACGAAGGTCGCGTATTGCTGCACTTAGAGATTCGGAGGCTCCGAGAATTAGGTCCTAGAAGTGCCCCTACCTCAAGGTGCCCCCAGGATTTCCAAGGAGGCCCCCACGGCCTCCAGAGCAGCCCTCACGAGGCCAAGGGGGCCCCAGGGGCTCCAGAACTGAGCGAAGATCTAGGGGCACCTTGGGCCAGGGGCACCACTAGCAACATCCGATAGATGACCGCGGTGATTTTGAAGGTCTCGATGGGAAACGCCGCGAAGAGGATGAGGGCCACCCTGGCTGGCGGGGGGCGCAGAAGCTCGGCGCGGAAAGCACGGAGATCGCCGCGGACATTGCGAATATCGACGCGGAGTGCGTGGAGCTCGTGCACTGGAGGGTCTTTCAGGACGGGCGATCGTGAGGATCGTGCGCGAGTAGACCAGCTGGTCGCCCAGAACAGGAACTCGAAGAAGACAGTTCCCGTGATGGGCTCGTTGGAAACGCAGCGCAAGGCGTGTGAGTTCGGTGCTGGGCCCGGGGGACGATTCGGAACCGAGGCACGCCCGTTGGGCAGTGCGCTGTGTGCGCAGGCGGGGATGCTTAGAGATAGTATGGGCCATTGGTCACCTTGCCGAAGGCGTCCAATGGTGGTGGAGACGGCCTGGTGGCGAAGTCGAGCAGGAGCACAACGATATTGAACTGCATGGAGGTGTGGGTCCCTTGTTGTCGCCGACTGCCGCCCGTGGCCGGGGGAGCGCTTGGCTTACAGCCGCACCGTGGCCGCTGCGGCGGCGGCGTGAGGGCAAGGGGCCAGGGGCTACGCTCTGAAGGAACTTCTCGGGCCCGCGGCTTAAGCCAACATGGCTACGGAGGAGAGAGTGAGAGAGAGAGAGAGAGAGAGAAAAAACAAACAATACAGATAGAGAGAGAGAGAGAGAGAGGGAGTGAGAGGGGGAGGAACAGAGAGAGAGTGAGGGAGTGAGAGGGAGAGAGAGAGAGAGAGAATGAGAGAGAAGGAGACTGAACGAGGCGACAGAGGGGAAGGGAAACGGAAGCAATGAGGCAGCTCACACTCACAGTGAACGTTGCGTGCAGGAGCACGAGGCCCAGAGCCAGCTGCCCGAACCGCGACAGCGGTGGCCGCGCGTGAGCGGACGGCGGTCCTGCCAGGGTCTGCGCGGCTCTGTCCTCCTGGGCTTCGTCCCGACAGCGTGGCTGCCCGGCTGCACTGGGGCCTTGGGGCCCTCCTCCTTTCTGGTGGACGCCAGGCTTCCTCGTGCACCGATGGCGAGCCTCATGCCCCCCCCCCCTCCCCCGCCCCTGGCAGCACACGCGGCCAGATCCGCCCGCGGACGCACGAGGAGGCCACGGGCCAGAGGCACGCGCGGCGGGCAGGCGCACTGTGCCGCACGAGGGCCGAGTGCCCGAGGCTCGTGCGACCACGCGTGCGTCCAGCTCTCCCCCGGGCCGCCCCCCGCCCTCGGAAGCACACACGGCCAGATCCGCCCGCTGACGCACGAGGAGGCCACGGGCTGGCGGCACGCGCGCGGAGGCAAGGCGTGCTGTGCCACAGGAGAAGGAGGACGGAGGAGGAGGAGGAGGAGGAGGAGGAGGAGGAGGAGGAGGAGGAGGAGGAGGAGGAGGAGGAGGAGGAGGAGGAGGAGGGAGGAGGAGGAGGAGGAGGAGGAGGAGGAGGAGGAGGAGGAGGCGGAGGAGGAGGAGGAGGACCAGTGTAAAACCAAGAGTCATCAACGATGTTGGAATTACCCCCCCTCCAAGCTCCCTCTTCATAGGCCCCCACGACGGTTCATTTCCATTGAGGGAACGGCCACGTTAGAAAACAACCGTTTGAAGAACCTGAAGCATGCCAAAGCATTGTTCTCGGGATTTCAGCGCCACGCATCAACCTGACTGCTGCGTCTTGACGATCCGGAATCGTGCCAGAGCGCCATATTCGGGACTTCGACACCGCGAATCAACATAACTGTTGCACCCGCATAATCGTGAGAGAGCGTGATCCACCGCCGCTTTACTGTGGAAAATTGCCAACCTTTTCCTCCGGAGCCCGGGGGTCGCCCCCCCCCCCTCTCCGAAAATACCCCCCCCCCCACTCCCTCCCTCCCCCCCTCCCCCCCCCCCTTCCCCGGCAAAACCCCCTCCCCCAACCCCTCCCCCCCCTCTCCCCTCGAAAAGGGGGGGGGGTCACTACCGGTTCGAACCCCCCCCCCCCCCCCCCCCTCCGGATCCGGAAAACCGGGGGGGGTCACTACCGGTTCGAACCCCCCCCCCCCCTCGAAAACCGGAGGGGGGGTCACTACCGGTTCGACCCCCCCCCCCCACGCACCGCCAGCAAACGACTCCCGGTCCCTACCACCGTCCGCATCACATCCCCCACTGTTGTTCCCAGCACCACTGTCCTCACCACCACTGTCCCCACTGGTTCCACCACCGTCCCTACTGTCCCCACCAGTGCCCCCACCACTGTCGCACTGTCCCCACTGTCCCCACCACTGTTCCCACCACGGTTCCACTCTCCCCACTGTCTCCACGGCCCCAACCACTGCCCGACTATCCCCACTGTCCCCACTGTCCCACTGACCCTCCGCTGTCCCACTGAGCTGTCCCACTGTTCCCACCACTGTCCCCACTGTCCCCACCACTGTCCCCACTGTACCTCTGTCCCATTGTCCCACCGCCGTCCTCGCCACCGCCTTCACCACTGTCCCCACCACCATTGTACCCTCCACTGTCCCACTGTTTCCACCTCATTCCCACTGTCCCCACACCACTGTCCCCACCACCACCGTCCCCACCACTGTCCACTGTCCCCCCCTGTTCCCACCATTGTCCCCACCACTGTCCCCACCACTGTCCCGCTGTCCCCTCACCACTGTCCCCACCAACACCGTTTCCACCACTGTCCGCACCCCCACTCGGTTTTCGAGGGGGGGGGGGGGGTTCGAACAGGTTGTGACTCCCCCCCCGGTTTTCGAGGGGGGGGGGGTGGGGTTTCGAACCGGTAGTGACCCCCCCCCCCTTTCATGATGAACTGGAGGGGGGGGGGAGGGGTTCGAACCGGTAGTGACCCCCCCCGGTTTTCCGGAGGGGGGGGGGGAGGGGTTCGAACCGGTAGTGACCCCCCCTGGTTTTTCGCCAGCAGCGGTAGAACACGCTCTTTCATAATCCTGCATCCTTCCGAATCACCATGTCTGGTACGTCGATCATGGGAATCCGCGAGTCTCGGACAACTTTTGAACGAATGTGCGCGGCGCTCAAGCGAGAACCATATTTTGAAAAGGAACCGCCCTCAATCCGTAAAACCCTTTCAACTTTTCTAAAACGAATGTGCGCGGCGCTGAAGCGAGAGTCACATTTTGAGAACCACCCGCCCTCAATCCGTGAAAGTCTTGCACCTTAAAAAAACGAATGTGCGCGGCGCTGAGGCGAGAACCGCATTTTGAGAACCATCCGCCCTCGATCCGTGAAGCCCTTGCAACTTTTTTAAAGCGAATGTGCGCAGCGCTGAAGCGAGAGCGCCATTTTGAAAACCTCCCGCCCTCAATTTGTGAAGCTGTTGCCACTTTTTAAACCACAGAGCCATAGATGCTGAGGTAGTCTCAGGCGAAGCGCCCGGCCTGCCCTGAAAACTAGCCTCGGGGTGCGACAGGGAGGAATTATCTATAAGGAGAAGGAATGGAGGAGGAGGAAGATGAGGCGGAGGAGGCCGAGGAGTAGGGGGTGGAGTAGTAGTAGTAGTAGTCGTAGTAGTAGTAGTAGTAGTAGTAGTAGTAGTAGTAGTAGTAGTAGTAGTAGTAGTAGTAGTAGTAGTAGTAGTAGTAGTAGTAGTAGTAGTAGTAGTAGTAGTAAGAGTAGGAGTAGGAGGAGTAGGAGGAGGAGGAGGTGGAGGAGGACCTGAAGGAGATGAAATGCCGATTGCCAGAAGCTCCTGCGACCACGCGTGAATATCCAGCCAAAATTGATTTCCCCCGTAGAATTGTCGCACATCTACTGCGGATTCTTAGCATGTTCCGTAGATCCGATGAGAGAGCTAATTCTGGGTGTGAATTAATGCTGTGGTCGATCTCCTACTCTAGCAGTTCACCTTGCCTCTTCGGCGGGGGGTGGCGCAAGGCTGGCAGACGCAGCGTGGAGGAGGCGGACGGAAGCAGAAGCTGCCCCCCAAGGCGAAAGGCCCACGTGCATCCAAATTCCTGGCACTCCTGCACCATTCAGGAGCGGCCAAGAGGGGGGGGTGCAAATCATGACCGGCGACATGTGCGCGGCGCAGCGGGGGGGCCAGGGACATAGTGAAATAAGAAGAGGCGCCATGAAATCTGTGAAATATCATGGCCCCCGCCATGATATCCACCCCCCCCTAGTCATCACCCCCCTGTTTTCCGCCCCCGGACCACTGCCACCCTCCCACATGGACTCGTGCGCACCGGACCGGACGCCTCGCTGATGAAGACGAATATCAACTTCAGGTCGGCATCGGGGAAGGCCTTCAGGAACCCAGCCTGCTTGCAGGCCTCCCGGGCCGGCGGGGGAGGCGCTCCAGGGAACGGACGACCCGACTCGACAGGACCAGAAGGCAGCTCCAGGGAGGCCTTCATCAGAACGTAGAGTCTAGCAAGCCAAATCAAGAGGCTATTTAACCTGATCAGCCCAACTCAGGCCCAGGATTACGCAGGATTGAGCAGGTTACGCAATATTCTACGGGATTCGGCTCGTTTTCGACCGCGGATCTACCAGCGCCGCTGCAACCTCCCAAGAGTTGCATCCCAAACAAGAGGGAGGTTTGTAGCGGGAGGGGGAGCTCCAGCGGGAGCCCTTTTCTTGCACACGTAGCTCATCTCTGATGGCGCCAGCTTCGTCTTGAGCACACCCTCTGATTCCTGGCCCCGAAGTGGGCGCGCAGCCCTCGCGGCAGCGAGAACGTCAGCGAAGCATGATTGGATCACCCAGATCCAGCGTCACAGGTGGACAATGTGACAATGTGTACACGTCAGATGCAAGCAAACACAAGGGAGTAGGAGGGGAACGCGTGCGCGCCCAGGAATCATTCCTCGAGGCTGGCGGCGTCCAAGGAAGCGAGCACGGGAAACACGAAGGCTTGGGTTTCGCTGGGGGCCCCGAGCCGGGCCGCAATCGGCGCGTGCCCCCAAACCGCCGCCTGAACAGTCACCGTGGACATCGGCTGACGTGTCGGCCGGCGCCCACGTGCACCGCATCGGCAGGCTTCCCCTGAGGGTCGGGTGGATCGCCGGCTACGGTGCACCTGACCTTTGTGGGCCCCCGAAACGGCAAAGCCGTTTTTTCACCGTTTCCCAAAAAATGTCCCTTGCAAATGGAAACGGCAAATAAACGGCGACAAGAAACGGCAAAAAAAACGGCTCCAGGATTGGAACCGGAGCCGGAACCGGTCAGAAAACGGCGACGGAACCGGTACAAAAACGGCGTCGGAACCGGCAACAAAAACGGCAAAACGAAACCGGTAAAAAAACGGCCCTGTCGTTTCCAGTGCCCACTAGGCACCTGGCCCGTCCTCCCGCAGCTGCTTCCGTCGTCGGTCGGCCGCCCCAGGTGGCCAACGGGTCAAAGCCACGCCCGGGCAGCCCCTCCCGAGGGCACACAGCAGGCGGCCTCGGCGGTCTCTATTTGCCAGCCCTGCCCGCTCCTGGCCTCCGACGGGGTCGGCGCTCGACTGCCGCATGGCCCCTCCGGCCCTTCGGGGTGGCCGATCGATCAGGGACGCTTCGACCTGCGGCGCCCGCCTGGGCGAATCCGTCGTCGTCGCCGTCGCCGTCGCCGTCGCCGTCGCCGTCGCCGCCGCCGTCGTCGTCGTCGTCGTCGTCGTCGTCGTCGTCGTCGTCGTCGTCGTCGTCGTCGTCGTCGGTCGTGGGCCGAGTGGCTCGCTCGGGGCAGGCCTTCTCGAAGGCGGCGGCGCTGGCGTAGCTGGGCAGGGCCTGGAGGCTCTGCAGGGCCTTCTCCCGCTGCACGAAGGCCTTGCGCAGACAGGCTGAGGCTGACTGGTAGGTTTAGGTCGGGCATGTCCCCCCACAGGGAGTTTTTTGGGCGAAAGATGGAAAATAATACTTCAAAATGACCAGCAGTAATGAAAACATCGTCCCCAGACTTTTTTTGTTCAGAAGACATATGCTTGAATATACCCCCTTGTAGAGGGACACGCCGGACTTAATGGTGAGTGGATATCGGTGGCGAGCACAGAACAACAACAGACAGCATGCACACAAGCTTTCGAAGGTCCGCGTAGACATCTTGGATCGGCGCTGTACCCCCCTCCCTGGCGCGCGGAGAGCGCCAGAGAGGGGGGTACAGCACCGATCCAAGAAACCCGCGCGGAGCTCCGACAATTTTTTGGAAGGAGCCGGACTCTATAATCCGACGCCTTTGCTGGCCCCGCACTGAAGCTCGCACAAAAAACCGGATCCTGGTGTATACGGGATCCTGGTGTATACTTTCTCGGTGCTCCCTCGGGAAACGGACAGCAAAAGTATACGCCACACCACCCCGACGTCGTCCCCGACCCTCGAAACGTCCTGGGATTGACGAACGGCCCGCCACTGATGTGTATGCTCCAGTTTCCGACCTCTGCTCTTCCAAGGCGCAGTGGGGGGCAAGGCGAGAGCGGCGACCTTGGAACAAGGCATGGGGCCTTCCCAGAGCGGCTCGCCCCCCCCCCCCCCTCCGAAGTCGCGCGTCCCGCCCGCATTGCCTACCGCTCCGCGCCGCTGCGAGTGGACAGCGGGGCTGAGAGTTCAGGCGCGGCCTGGGGAGGCCTTGCTGGGGTTGATGAATTTTGATGGCCCCGCAGACGTCTACTATTGATGGCCTGTTTTCTGGCCCGCGGTGGGATCGACGAAACCCCTGATCGCAAGTTGTTTTGCCATCCAGGCTGCGAAAAAAGGTGGATCATCCCATGCGCAGGCCCCGTCGGGCCGATGACTTTTCGGCATCGTTTCTTGCTGGCCTGATGGGTTTGCCCACTGAGTGGGGGATGGGAAGGCGGCGCGGCTTCGTCACTCCCTCTGCTCCACTTTCGCTTTCTCCTTGAGAAACGAGCTCTTTACACCGACGCTTTCTCCGGCCCTGAATTGAGATTTGCATCCAAGAAAACGGATCCTGGTGTATACGGGATCCCGGTGTCTCATTTTTCGTCGCTTCCCCGGGAAAACGGGGGAACAAGTATACACCACACCGCCCCGACGTCGTCCCCGACCCTCAAGAAGTCCTGGGATTGAAAAACAGCCCGCCACCGGTAATGTATGTACATGTTCCAATTTCCGACCACTATCGCTTTTCTGCATCCGTGTCCTCGTCCTGTTACCCTCTGTCGCTACTGATCCACCTCATCCTCTTCCTCCCCAGCCTCATCTTCTTATTCCCTCTGCACGCAGTTCGCCGTTCTCCCTCATAATGAACACCAGAGGCCCGACTTCGTTCTGACTGCGGCCTTTTTCTGCGAACGAGTTACCACATCGCCGACGTCTTGATATGTTCAAAACGTGGGTCGCAGAACTCTCGACCCAGTCCCTGGGACTGTTCTTGCGCCACAGGTCGCCTCTTGATGGCCCCAGGACCGAAAGCGCCCTCCCCCCGATGCCGACATCGCCGAAACGCCGCCCGCCGTTTTGTGCCACCGTGACAGAGGCATTGGGTCGAGTGTCCTCAGGTCCCTCGGAATCCGCTGTCGAATGTTACAGTACTGTAGATGCTTCCTGCGGGGCCCAGACCTCCGATTCTGACAAAAAGTTCTTCGGCTTTCCGCGTGCCTCCAGGGTGTACCTTCCGTCCAGGTTTCGCTCGGCAGGTCTAGCTTCAGGTGGGGCATGGCCTCCGACAGGCAGATTTTGGAGGATAAATGCAGACAGTTCCAACCGATTCCCAAACAGTTAGAAATACAAGAAAAATCGCCCCCAGATCACACTTCTATTATTTTTGAATTTTCCTCCTGTAGAGGGACATGCCCGACTTAAGTCTAGTTGTTGGATCAATTTGTGCGGTCCTCCTCCGCCCGCCGCCTTTTGTGCCCACTGCGGCCCTGTGCATCCCGCGGCTGCCCCCGAACGCGGTGAGGACCCCCGCTGCTGCGACCCATCGTGCAGCTTGGTGCGCGCCCCCCGCCATCCGCCCAGCACCCCCGGGCGCCTTGAACGCCGCCTGCACGCCGCCCATGCTCTCGTCCACGTACCTCTTGAGGGCATCCAGGGTCTTGAACACCTCGAGCCCACGGGGAGAGGAGGGAGGAGAGGGAGGAGCGAAGGAGAAGAGATCGAGGAGGGGGGGGATGAGGAGGAGGGAGAAAAGGAGGATGGGGAAGAGCGAGGAGGGAGGAGGGGCCTAGGGAAGGATGACGAGAGAGATGATGCGTCGAGGAGGAGGAGGGCATACGTGACCCTGGACACCGCGAGCCTGGCGATGTTTCGCGGGTGTCAGAGAGGAGGATACAGTGGAGGCCAGTCCATAAGAAACCATCCAAGAGAAACCCAACCCTGAGACCCCAGAGCGTCCATCGATTTTTGATGTGGGAACGTCGCACTTTCCACAGCAACAAACCATCGAAATGGATCGTTCAACGACGGGCCGATTCTGGGCCACGAGCGGCGCTCAACCTCAAACGCGCGCGCTGGGGTCGCCGCCAGTCGACACGACGCGAACCTGCCGTACTTTCTTCTCTTTTTGCCTGATGTGTGATAGCGGACCGGTGGTAGCGTGCCCAAGATGACAGTCGATGACACACCACGTCCAGCAATGCCACTACATGCATCCGCAATGCGATCGCGAGCCTGCCGTGATTGAGCCGGCCCGCCGTCGGAGGCCTGCGTGGAGGCCGTCCCGAGAGCGTCGATGGGGCCGGCCTGGCCCCTCCTCGGCTTCCATCTCTGGAGGAGTCCCTGGGCGCGCGCGTCGCCGAGCGCGGATGCCAACTCCACTGTCCTCACCGAGGGGCCAGAAGATTGCACTCTGAGCCCCCCCTCCTGCTCCTCCTCCTCCTCCTCCTCCTCCTCCTCCTCCTCCTCCTCCTCCTCCTCCTCCTCCTCCTCCTCCTCCTCCTCCTCCTCCTCCTATGGCTCTGCAGAGGGGGGGGCTTTCGTTATCCACGCCCGGCGGCTGGCCCAGCGCGCGCGGCGCCTGGCTCGGCGGCCGTGGCGGTCCAATCGGCGGCCCTCGGCCGCGCGCGCCGCGCGCCGGGGGGAGGCCCTCATTGGTCATAGGTCGGGCATGTCCTCCTACAGGCGGGTTTTGGGCGAACAGTAGAAATATTCAGAAAATGCTCCAAGCTAGTCGAAAGTAGTCAAAAAATCGTTCCCAGACTCCTCCTGTAGAGGGACAGGCCCGACTGAACACTGGCCCACGGCCTACACGAAGGTGTGGTGGTCTGGCAGCATGCGATGCTGACCGCTGCTTCGGGCCGGCGCGCCGCTCCCAGGCGCGCCGCATCGGGTCTTCCATGCTAGCCAGGGTTCTCCCAACACTCACTCCTTGGCCCAAGCCAGCAGCGCGGTCACCATGAGGATATCTGATACTGGCACCATGTCGCCCTTGATGGCCGCGTTCAAAGTGGCGGTTTATGGGCCCGACCCCACGCGCGCTGCCTTCATCCTAGCCTCCAGGAACTTCTGGATATGCAGCCGGGACATGGGCGCATGCACCACGTTGGCGGCCTCCTCCGTGCTCGCCGCGAAGATGCACGTGCCCTCAGGCCCGAGGAAGTCCTCGAGGAACGAGATGAGGAATTGAACGGTCCTCATGATATGCTCCCGCAAGTTGGGCGCCGAGTGCAGCACTCGCATGGCGATGTCGCCCACAAAAAGGACGACCTGGGCCAGCGGGTACCCGCGCCCCACCAAGTCCAGAGCCCAGAAAACCGATACCTTGTGCGGCTTGTTGGAATGCTGAAAACCTGCCGGGAGGCTGGCGTAAGTGATGACCGCGTCTGTCGCGGCCGCCTCCCCGCCGCAGTTACCGCGGGCACTCCATCGCGCCAGCCAGGACCCACATCAGGCTGAGCGAGACGTGCTCGTAGGCCTTGGTGACGTTGCAGAACCATCCAGACGGCCTGCTCGCTGCTCTTGTCCGTGGTCGCCCATTTTTTTGGCGTCGGCGGCAGGGCAGAAGTTGCTGCTCCAGCGATCGGGCACCACGGGGCGCGCTAGATGCAAGAGTGGTCGCCCAATCGCAGTCGCGGCTGTTCCCCTTCTACCACAAAGCCCTGTGTGCGGACAAGACCAGGTGCCGTGGCCCGCGCCCCGCCCGCTGCTCTGGCCTGGCTGCCTGGGGCCGCCTCCTCCCCGGCAGGCTCGTGCAGTGCCCCTCCGCCCTGCCTGCGCCTTTCCCCGCCCAGGGCAGGCCTGCACCCTGCATACTTGTTCTCGTGCTGCTGGAGGAGGAGGAGCAGGAGGAACAGCAGGAGGAGGAGGAGGAGGAGGAGGAGGAGGAGCATGATGATGATGATGATGATGATGATGAGGAGGAGGAGGAGGAGGAGGAGGAGGAGGAGGACGAGGAGGAGGATGAGTATGATGTCGGCCACGTCGCGGGAGCGACATCGGGCCGCATCGCAAAGATCGCAAAAGGAGGAGGAGGAGCACGGACGCCGTCTCCCGCCTTCTTGTTGCTGGCTTTCCAAGCTCCCGCGCTGGATGGGGTCCTCCTCCCTGGGAGGCTGCCGTGGCCGTCCACCCCTCTGCGCCTCGCTCTTTGGTCGTCGCTGTCGCGCGGCTTCGTCTTCCCCTCTTTTGCCTCCCTCGCCTTGCCGCGGCCGCCGCGCCCTAAAACCCCCTCGTCGCCGCCTCCTCCTGGGGGCAGCCTTCGCCCTCTGCGCCTCGATCGCAGCAGCGGCACGCGGCGCACTGGCTCGAGTGCCGCCGGCGCGCGCGCCCCTCTCTCTCTTTGGACCCCTCTCTGCGCCGCGGCGCTGCGCGCGGGGCCGCGGCGCCCCAAAGTGTGCTCGCGGGCTGCTTCTTTCGTCGCTGGTCTTCGTTCCCTGACGGGCGACATCCTGACCATTTCAGGACGGGGTCCCTGGAAATCCCGACCCGTTCCCCGGGACCGGTTTTTCACCCCGAGTCTTTTTTTGTCGGTCCCGAGGCCCGGCGAGGGCCCCCCGAGGCCAAGAGGGGCCAGAAACCGCCCGTCCCGATCTCTTTACGACGCGATCATGTCTGGGTTTTTCTGTGCCTCGATCGCAGCAACGGCACGCGGTGCACCGGCTCAAGAGTCGCTGGCTGGCCAACCGCAAGTCATCTCCCCCCTCTCCGCTGCGGCGTCGTCGTGCTTCTCCTGCGCTCGCCCGGCACCTCGCCGGCCTCGGCGCCGCTCTGGCCCGACGTCCAGCTCCCCTCTTTCCTCCCCCCTCCCCCTCGAGCTTTGTGCCCTGGCGTTTTTTTTTTTTTTTTTTTTTGTTTTTTGTTTTTTGTTTTTTGGTTGTTGCTTTTTTTGTTTGTTTGTTTCTTTTGACGTCCTCGCGCCCTATCTTTCCTGAACTCGCCTGGCTTCGCCACTCCGTCAATCGCCGCCGAGGGCACCGGTTTTGCCCCATCTCCCACCACAGGCGCCAATTCGTGGTAAACGCGTCCGTAACCGCGCGTCCGTCGACTGGAACCATCGGCACGTCGGAGGAAAGTGTGTGTGTGTGTGTGTGTGTGGACCGCCTGCTTTCTGAGCCCTCCGGCCGCCTTAGGCCCCGCCCGCCCGCGCCCTGTCTCCCCAATTAGCGCTACCCGCGTCCCGTTTGGCTCTTGACCAGAAGGGGCCCGCTCCCGACCCGCAGACCCAAAAAAGTGTGTGTGTGTGTGTGTGTATGTATGTGTGTGTCGTGCTGCTCGGTATCGTGACGTGCACGCTGAGCAGCACGGCAGGCCATCATGTTGCGACGCTCCCGCGTCCCGTTTAGCTCTTGACCAGAAGGGGCCCGCTCCCGACCCGCAGACCCCAAAAAGTGTGTGTGTGTGTGTGTGTGTGTGTGTGTGTGTCGTGCTGCTCGGTATCGTGACGTGCACGCTGAGCAGCACGGCAGGCCATCATGTTGCGACGCTCCACAGCAAGGCGGGGAACCACACCCCCGACCCCGATGTTGATGCCATTCGGTTGCGTCAGCTGCTCATCCTGGCCATGAAGCTCTTCGGCAAAACTCAGCCACAGCGGCACTGTGCAGCCGCAGGGAACCAGCACAGCGATGCAGCTTGGCAGCCCGACTCAGACTTTCACGAGACAAGCGCCCGATCCAGAGAACTACGTCTGGGAGCCAGGATGCACCAGATCGTCGTGTCAGGGATCGGCAGATTGACCCATACATCTGCGAGCGAGAATCGCAGCTTGACGAGTATCGTGTTTCGAAGCAGCCCTCGAGGACCACCATGCTCGCAATGTGGACAAGCAGCCTGGCCTGGAGTAACAGCGTGACTCTGTCGTCCATTAGTCCGCCGAGCAAGGCGTCACGGTTCTCTGGCGATCCTCATAACTGCCTGCATTTTCGCCCCCATGGGGTGTCATGGTTTCCACCAGGCGGTCGGTCCATACAGCGAGAGGGAGGCCCCTTGCTGGAAGCTTGGGTGCCAAACCGTACGACGGCAACACACCGCGCGACTCAGCAACGGCTGGACCGACGGCTTGATGCCGACCAATTTCGTGTCAACCCTGACGGTCGCCGCCGAGCCTGCCCAACTCACTGTGGGAGACATACAGTCCAGCAAGTGAGGCCGAAACTCGGTCCTAAACTCGGCTGACAAACGCCTGACACATCGTCCAAGCTGCCATCAAACGTACTGGCGGGAAGACTGCCGAGCATGGCATTGCCACTAGCGTCGTCATTCAGAAGCACTGCCGTGACCAGCGCGACGGCGGGAAATGCACGTGCAAACATCGCCGCTTGACTGCCCCGTACGCCGTACGCCGGCACCAGCGACACCTCAACCGCTCCAGCGCGCACTGACAGCAGCACGCGCGGGAGCGGCGGCACCAACATTCTCAGCATCGACCAACGCCGGCAGCCCCGCCACGACGAGCTCGTTGCTGGGTGGCGCGGCCGGGAGTTCAGCTGCTCCGACCTACTGTAGCTTGATCACCAGGAAGAACTTCGAGCACCAAGATAATATCGAAACTGGAGGGTTTTTTCACGTGTGGGGCCCTGGGAGGCGATAGTCGTTCGATACCTGGCCAATGTGTCGGACAGACACTGTCTCGATACTTCTCTCTATGCTCGACAAACTTATTCTTGG